CTGGTACCAGTAGTTGAGTGTTTCCTGCTGATCGCCTCCCTCATCGAATAATTCTTCCAGTCGAGCAATGTCCAGCGGAGCCATTATTCCAGCTTTTACTTATGCTCCATACCAAACGGATAAGATTTTTATTAAAGTGCACGGATTGAGTGAAATGGGATCGAGACTACAATAGCGAAAACATACTTACATGTTTTCAGACGTCTGAAACGATCTACTCCAATAAATTTTAACTTTATTCGGTGCTTCCAGGAAAAATACTGTAGTCAATTTTCCCAGAACTCAGAAGAGCCGGGTGAAAGTGACAAACTGTGTCAAGGAGTTCTAAATTTAGCTGAACCTGCCACAAGTTGGAGGCAAGACACGCAGCAATTAGCTGAAAAAGCATCAGATTCAGTGCAACTTGCTGGATTACCAGCGAAATCGAATGAGGACACTAAGACCGGATTTCAGAAAAAACGCATAAAAACTACTTAATGAGGGCGTGAGAAAGGCGCGCCGAATTCCCGCACACCCTCTTTTCGGGCATCATCTTCATGCCAGTTCAACAGGAATATGGTATAACCGACCAGAGAAATACACATATACCGGAATGTTTCTATAGCAACGGAAGAATGCGAACTCATTGGAACGCTTGATGCGTCTGCGGTCAAGGAATCAAAGTCTCTTCCTGGACTGATTGTTACCAACTGAAAATTTCACAACTCCTTGAAACTATGGAAACCCAGCTTCTCTGGTTTCGATTTCGTGACTCGTGGATTTGAGGAAAAACTAGAACGATGATATCGAAGGACCAATTAGATATTGACTGTGACGCAAATTCCAGCAGATTCAGAGAAGTACTGATCAAAAACTCATTCAGCAATACACTACAAGTGCTCCTTTATGGTTCATGCGAATCCCAAAGTTTTCTTCCACCCTTCTCTCGTAGAATGATGAGCTTGAGTTCTTGGCTTTGACAGCTTGCAGAAAGCGCCAAATTTCATCTCTTCATCGGTTACATATTTTAATGTCTTTGGCAAGCACTAATGCTTTGTACAATTTCAAAATTGCAATATTTTGAAAAATTTTATGTTTATTTTACCAAAATTCTGCTCAAAAGAGCAGCAACAACAATAAACAGCATAACATGACAGGGTAGTTAACTAAAATATTATAAATTCATTAAATGAAATTTTCCCGCACATAAATAATTCACCGTTCACACTGTTTAACCCTAGCACAAGCGAAAAAAAACACAGGTAAAAACATGTTTTTGATACCATCAAGCTCAGAAAGAAAACTGAGATACTAGTGCATTAATGCAAAAAAACGTAAAAGTTTTGTCATGTAAGTGGCGTAAAAGTTTTTCAAGTTTTCCCACGCAAGGGCTTAAGCGTACACCCATCACGTACACAAAAAGGCGCAACTCAATTCCGCTCGCACACTTCAAGCAAACATCGAGAAACATTTCCAGAAAATTTTTAAAATTTGAAGAATTTTTACGCGCTTTATCTACGATTACAAGAAAAAGAACGAAAAGAAATCGTACATGGCAAACAAACAAGAAGCAAACACAGTACAGGTGAGATTAGTGCCTTTTATTACCAACTAAGCCTTTTTTCTTCAAATTCTGACGTCTTCGATAAGCTTGATAGGATTTTATTTTCTGTTTTTTCTTCCTCTCTTTTAGAATTTGCTCCGGTTTTTTCAGTTCCGAATGTGGCGCTTTTTGTTCGGCGTTCAGATGGCCGCCTTGCTTTGATTTTCCACGATTGCCAAAACGTTTCTAAAAAACAAATGTTTGTAAAAAAATTGAAAATTCCTTATCCATCTAAATCAAACAGAGTTTTCTACGGCATGAATTTTTAAAATGAAACTTATTTCTTGTAAACTGAAAGAAAAGCTCGAACTTTGAAAAACGTTGGTTTAGTCCTGTTCATATTGGTAGCTTCATCGCCTTCTTCTTCGTTTATATACGAAATTTTTTGCTTCTTTTGCCAGTTCTCGTAGCGTCCACTCTTGTAGGTTGCTGGCAGATAGGTTCCATCTTCAGTTCGAATTCGTTTCTTTTGCATGTCCCCACCCTCACCAACAAATTTCTTTAATTTTCTGTCCCTAAAAATGCAGTTATTCTGAGCAATTCGTTAAATAACGTACCATACGTGATGCTGCATAATAATATATGCAAGATGAAATTGTAAATTTACCATTTTTTGCGCTTTTTCTGCTTGTACAGGCCAACTTCATCATCCGCAAGAACCTCAATCATATTGGCTTTAGCCTGGGCATTAAATCCACGATCCACTGCCAAACCGCGTTCAGTATTTGCTTCGGCAGGTACATATTCTAAAACATAATTCCTGATAAATTTCAGAAATTGAGATTCTTTTCCTTTTCTTCCGGATAACTGACAAAAGAAAAAGTTTGATATACCTTTTCACACTTTTTGAAAAAGTAAAAATTGAAAGTAAAAAGAATTTCGAAGTTTGAAAAAGTAAACTCATAAAACATTTCCCGAAATCTAAAAAATGCAAAAAAGTAAGAAAATTAAAAGGAAAGTAAGTACAGGAATAAAAGATTAAATAAAATGCGAAAGAACCACAACTATTCATGCTATGCTAACCAATGTAATGTTTTTTCTTTTCCTCCAGCAATTCATCGGCCTTCCTTTTTCGTGTTTTATGTTTCTTAGCTGCCAAATCATCAGCGGAGGAGAATTTCGTATTTCTGATCACTGTATGAAATGTTTCTTTCTGAAATTCGTTACATGAAA